GAACCCGCCACCTTAGGTGTATGTGGCTGGCGCCTTAGCCGCTTGAGCCACAGGTGCCGAGCCTGGGAGCTGATTCTTGAGGGAATCATTTTCCTTTTCTTAACTAAAGATAGTAACTCCTGACCTCAAAAGGATTACTCAGGATCAAATATGACTATGGATAAAAAGTGTCCAGTGCAGGTTCCCAGCACAGAAGTACGGTGAGTCACTGCTTTCCGCCTGGGCTTCCTTTCCTATCTTATGCATGATCTGCCTCCTGGCCTCCTAGACATCAGCAACCATAAGCATCTCTTCTCAAATTCCCCAAAAAAAGCTCCTGAGAGGCATGGCACTCCTGTCATCTCCCTAGGCCTCCCATCCTTTCCACTGAGTCTGACAGCTTTTGCTCGTCCTATATCAACAGAACTGCCACCCAAACCTGCATTGGGGAGGAGGAGGTAGCCTGATGAGGGGTATTGTCTGGAATCTACCAAGGTCCCATGTTCAGTCTTAAATTCAGGCACCAGATTTTCCTTGTTGCCAGAGGTGGACTCACCAAAGGTCAGTTCTGTCAGTTCCACTGTGAGCACCAACATGGCCCTGGCCCTGAGGCTGACATCACCACCATCACCAGGCTGGTCCTGACATGAGTGGAAATGGAGACTTCTTGAGAGGAGTAGCTGACAACCAGGCAGACTGATCAGACTGGGCCCAGGGCCTGTGCATGTCCCTGGCCTGCCAGCGTTCTTGCTTTGTTTCAATACATGGACTGTGTACTACAGAGCATTGCCACAGTCACTCCAGGCTTGTCATTTCCTAGCCAAGCATTGCAGCTGAAGGAGGGTTCTCCCCCACAGCTTCACCATAAAGAGAAGGATTCTCATATAAAAAGGGGCTCTGATCAGTTCATCTTGGGTGACAGAGCCACCCTTGGGATTCATTTATTTGGTCAAGGGGATGAGATAGTATAGTCGGCCAGGCCTGAATCACATGCCCCTAAATCAGGGCACTATTATTGTCAGCCCTAACAGAACCATGTGGAATTTCTAAGTGGGAGTGGGGAGCACAAACAATGAAGCACTTGCCTCCAAAAAGAGGTGGAGTTCAGGTAGACAGGAGAATGGTCATGACCTCATGTTCTCAACAGGGTATTCCCTATTGCCTGACAAGTTGTCTGGTTCCTCAGGGGTTGCTTGGCGGGCACAGCCACCAGTCTAGGAAGGAGAGCTGTGGTGGTTTCTCCCAGGGATGGCCCTTGTGCTCCAAGGAGGGCCAAGGAGGCCTGTGATAGAAGATACTCTGGAGGGTAGAATCTGGTATCTGAGGGCCCTGGCACAGATGCTGGCTTTCTGACTAGCTTTAGGACTTGGGGAAAATACTTAACCTTCCAGAGCCTCAGTTCTCTCTCCTATAAAATGGGGTAATTTTGATGAGTCTGTGACATTTTGCTCTATTAAATTTCAGTAATTATTGATTATTCTTTCTGTAATTGGATTGTCCTTGCCCACCACTTTGTTCTTAACGACCTATGAGTCTGTCTTGTTATGTGCTGGTTTCCTTAGAGTGGCTCTTCTGTGTAGGCCTCCTCACTTTGGCCTGCATTCCAGCTGGGCTACTCAGGGGACGCTTAACCCTTAGCGGTGTGCTTTTTTTTTTTTTTTTGAGACAGAGTTTTACTTTGTTGCCCTTGGTAGGCCTCACAGCTCATAACAACCTCAAACTCTTGGGGTTATGCAATTCTCTTGCCTTAGCCACCCGAGTAGCTGGGACTATACGCACCTGCCACAACACCCAGCTATTTTTGTTGTTGTTGCTGCGGTTGTCATTGTTGTTTAGCTGGCCCAGGAGGGCTGGGTTTGAACCCACCAGCCTTGGTGTATGTGGCTGGGGCCTTACCCACTGAGCTGCAGACGCAGCCACACCTGGCTATTTTTTAGAGATGAGGTCTTGCTCTGGCTCCAGCTGGTCTTGAACTCATGAGCTCAGGCCATCCACCTGCATCGGCCTCCTAAGTGCTGGGATCATAGGTGTGAGCCACCTTGCCTAGCTATGGACCTTTTTCCAGAGAAGTCAGCGGGTTGTCCACCAGGACAATAATCAGAAGGACACAACATTGCTGCAAGAGTGCTGCCTGGAAGCCTCAGGAAGTGGGAAGAATGTTGCTTTGGCCCTGCAAGGCAGGGCCCTTCTGTCTGGCTTCCTGCAAAGTCTCCAGCTAAGAAAATGTGAACTGAGTTTTGGAGCTTAGTCTCCTTCCTGTTTTCTGAATTGTAGGAGGAATGGAGCCAAAGAGAAATTGTGAGCGTGGCAATGGCTCAAGCCCTGGAGGAGGTGCGGAAGCAAAGGGAAGAGTTCCAGCAACAGGTGGGCCCTATTTGACACTGAGGGGTGAAGCTCCCTGACCAGCCCCTGTCCTGCAGGGGGACTGCTGGAGCAGCCCCATCTGTCCAGGAGAGGGGGTAGACACAGTCTCAGGGCTGCAAGGTACACCCTGTCGTCTCCAGGAGGGCAGGAGAGAAATGTTTTAAAGCAGTCCATCCCTGTGGACCTACTTGGTTCTAATTCTCTGAGGTGGCCCATGACTGCCTACAGGCCTGAAGGCTGTAGAAGTTCGGTTGAGCTCTTCAAGCCTCCCGTGAAGTCAGTCTTATAATCTGGCCTCAAACCTTGTAGATAACTGGCTCTTGGCCTTTGGTAAGTCCTTAAAATCTGAGTCTTGGAGTCTCCTCTGCTAAGGAGTCTCGTCCTAATCACGCATTCTGGGTATTGGTATGAAGTAACGTATGTCAAACATCCACTAGAGCCAGGCACACCGCAGGCACTCAGGGAGTAGAAGTTATGGTTATAGCAGCTTCTAGGAAGATTGGGCGGGATGGGCACATTTCTGGTTGGTACAGTGTAGGCCAGGGGACCAGTGAGAGGCAGTTGCTCCTGTGCAGAAACCCAGCCATAGAGAATGGATTTGTGCTTGCTCACAGGAGCAGAGCTTAGCAGAGTTTGTTCTGGACTGTTCTTCAGGGAGGGATTCTTGGTGGACCTTGGGTAGTGGAAAAATGGGAGGACATGAGATCATTGCTGCCAACCTTTGCTTGTGTTGATTTTTTTTCTCCCAGGCTGCTAACCTTTCAGCCATAATAGATGAGAAGGAGCAGAGTCTACAGGAAAAAGCTGAAGTGCTTCTCCAGAAAGAGCAGGAGATTCTCCAGCTGGAGCAGGGTGAGGCATCTTCCCCTGGCTGGGCCTCCTCTCCTTTTCCTGCCCAGCGATGGCCCTGTCACCAAGCAGCATGGGGTCACTGGGCTCATGGTGCACACCTCTCCTCTGCCCCGACCTAGGTCACAATTCTGCCCTGCTGCAGATGCACCAGCTGCAGAATGAGCTGGAGGCCCTGCGGAGTCTGCGGGAGGAAGAGGCCTCGGCCGCCATAGAACAGGAGGACTTGTTGAGGCTGCAGGGCCCGGGGCAGAGTGAGGTGCTATCAGCCAGCGAGCTGAGTGTAAGTCCCAGATGTCCTTGCATGGGTGCTATGGCAGGGTGCAGGGTCATGCTGAGAGCTGCCAGGGAGATAGCAGTGGGGAAATGGTGAGCAGGCCACTCCCCTATGCTGTAGTGCCCTTTCATTTAATGTAGAGGTACTTAAGTGGCCAGGAGATTGGGAGGCCTGAATAGCCCATCCTTGGTAGCAGTGCTTGTCAGGGAAAGAAAGCCCTTCACTGGACAAAGACCAGTTGTGTGGAAAGCTCACTGCCCCTCTGGGAGACATTGGTGGGATCATCGCCATAGTTTGATTTGGCTCCTGGCCAGCTGTCTGTGGGTTCACAGCCAGTCCACACCTGTGGGGCAAGCTTAGCTGCCGCAGGTAAGCTTCAGCATTACCTGACCTGGCTCTCAGCTTGTCGTCAACCACCCTATAGGTGACCTCAAAGGCCATGCAGGACCCCATGTACCAGCTTCCAGCTGTAGGAAGAACACCAAATGGTGAGGTTGGGCATGTGGATCTTGGGCAACTACAGAAGGAAAAACAAGACTTGGAGCAGCAACTTGCAGAGAAAAATAAGGTGAGCATGCCCCAGGTCTCAGCTGTTTCTGTCTACACTCTGTTCCTGCCCTGGTGCCTGAAATGGCTGCATCCTCTTGCAGGGGATTGCTGGTGCCCTGGCAGCTTTAAGGACATACCACCTTTTCCGCAGAAAAGTGTTATCTTCTTGTTACACACACCGCCGCCCCCATCCTCCTCTTCTCCCACCCCCTTGAGATACTATCTGAGTGGTCAGAGCTTGAGCAGCTGCAGGTCTGGTTGTTCCCTGCCAGCCCTGCTATCCCAGTGGACCAAAGGGATAATCTTCTCACCTTTGCACTTCCCTTCCACAGCTTTGACATGACAGCACAAATTCCTGCCTTTAAGGGCTTTTGCTTTCTGGGGGGAATAAGGGGAAAGGATGAAACAAAATGAAGATCTTTATTAATTGTCCCCACCTGGTATTTGTTAGGGGTTCAATAAATGCCATGGTCCCACCATACCCTGCACCTGGAAATTCAGGGATTCATTTGATCTTGGTCGGTCTTTTGGTTTGGTTTTGATTTGATAGAGTTTTGCTGTGTCACCCAGGCTGGAGTGCAGTGGCATCATGATCACTATAGCCTCAAACCTCTGGGCTCAAGGGCTCCTTCTGCCTCAACCTCCCGAGTAGCTAAGACTACAGGCATGCCCCACCACACATGGGACCTGCCTTATTTTTTGTAGAGACAAGGTCTTGCTATATTGGTTGGGCTGGTCTTGCACTCTTGGCCTTAAGTAGTCCTCTCACCTCAGCCTACCAAAGTGCTGGGATTACAGGTATGAGTAACTATGCCAGGCCCTTGATCCTAGGGGTTTTTTGCTTGTTCTTTGAGACAGAGTCTTACTTTGTTGCCCTAGGTAGAGTGCAGTGGTGTCAGCCTAGTTTATAGCAATCTCAAACTCCTGGTCTCCTGTAATCCTCCCACCTGGGCCTCCAGAGTGCTAGGATTATAGGTTCCCAGCCTAATCCTGGTTTTTAAAGTGCCCTTTTAAAAGTGCACAGTGTGGGCTCGGCGCCTATAGCTCAACCGGCTAAGGCGCCAGCCACGTACACCTAAGGTGACGGGTTCGAATCCCCAGCCCGGACCCGCCAAACAACAATGATGGCTGCAACCAAAAAATAGCCGGGCGTTGTGGCGGGCGCCTGTGG